ATGTTTCAACAATCGGAAGTGACGAACGCAAAATGAAAACACGAGTTATCCCTCTATATAACTGACTGAAGTGACAGGTGATAACAGGTACATGGGCGAATTTTTGCTCACTAATAATTCCTTCGAAGATCAAAAGTTGTTGTGTGAGACTGTGAAAGGATATCTGACAATTCATAAAAAGAATTGACTGTCACTATGTAAGAGAACATGAAAGAAAAATAGAAAAAGTCCGTGCATTACCATGTTTATATAAGTATAGAATGAATAAACACACGTGAATGTACGGACTGTTTCTATTTCTCGTTATACGCCCGGACGTCCGTCCTTCCACAATTGTTTGTGAACAGTCTACAGGTCACAATTTTTATCCGATTTCAATGAAACTTGAAATATAGGTTTATCACCCTAATATCTCGGTTCGTTTCGATATTGGCATGTATCGGACTGTAGCTTCATGGATTATGGCCCCTGATTGTACGAAAAATCACGTGTCTAGCTTGTGAACACTGTAGAGGTCACAATTTTTATCCGATTTGATTTAAACTTGAAATGTATACTTATAACCCAAAGATCTCGGTTCCTTTCGATATTCGCGCATAGCGTAAAAATATGGTATATTATGGTAGTGGACCCTATAGAGGTCACAGTTTTTATCCGATTTTGTTGAAACTTGAAATGTAAGTTTATAACCCAAAGGTCTCGGTTCTTTTCGATATTTGCGCATATCGAATTGTAATTTTCTGAATTATGGCCCTTGATTGTAGGAAAAATCACTTTCTTTTTAGCTTGTTCTTTATCCATCTCTCGAAAATGTGGGCGTAACCTGCCTGGCAGCCGCTGGTGTTCTCTTATCTAATGACATTCAATTACTTTTTTGAATTGTCAGATATGCTCTTACAGTCTCATATGACAACTTTTGGTCTTCGAAGGAATTATTAGTAAGCAGAAATTCTCCCATGAATCTGTTATCAATCGTCACTTCAGTCAGTTATATAGAGGGATAACTAGTGTTTTCCTTTTGCGTTCGTCACTTCCGATTGTTCAAGCATTGCTTACGTCTCTATTGTAGCAATGATCGATGTGATAAAATAATATTTGGAACGTGTTTAACCAGTTCTATCACATATGTGATAATGACTGGCACCAATATTGCCCTTTAAATTGTTTAATCGTCTCGGGCTTAAACATTGAGTAATATATATTTATATATTTAGGTCGTTTTCGTCGGTCTGGTCGATTTGTCCGGTTGAATGGCAGGGCGGTGCAACTCTTCCTTGGGGCTTGTTGGTGAGTGTAAGGCCTGGACCATTCTTCCTTCCATTTGGTTTTTTTGTCCGGTATGGTGGTTGATTTCGTCATTATTTCTGTTGTTCATTCTTTGTTGTTGGTTCTCTGAAGGAAGAATCCAGCGCCTGAAAAGAGAAAGCTAGAGAAAAAAGAGTAGCTGGTTTTGTGATGGTTTTGTTTTTATTTCGTCTAGTAAGGCTTCGAGGGGGGGGGGGCTGGGGTTGGAGGGAAAAAAATGCATTTATGGCAAGTTAGTATGATATACATTCAATCAAAATTTATTAGGAGTTAATAAATACAATAATACATATATGGTGGCTTAATATGATCTACAATCAATACTTATTTAGTCAAATAAATAAAAGTGTAAAGAACATTTCAGGGTGTGTAGCGTTTCCCTCTTATGGGGACATTTTTGCGCTATCACCCTGATTTATTAATAAATAGTTTTATTTGTGGTGTAGGACAGGTGGCGATTCCCTCTAGGGGACGTTTTTTCGCTTCATCCTACATTGTATAATTTGATTTATTAATTTTATCAGAGTTTTATTAGTAGTGTAGGGCGGTTTACTCTTCCTTCTGGAGGACATTTTTACGTTCCGCCCTGCTGTTAATTGATTAATTTTATTAATTGATTTATTAATTTTATCGGAGTTTTATTAGTAGTAGGGCGGTTTACGCTTCCTTCTAGAGAACATTTTTACGTCTTACATTCGTATTTAAAGGCAGATTAAGGATTAACTCATTGAAGTCAGTTGCGGTCACATGGGTTTTAAACCTGCCATGGTCTGAGTGCTTCGGGCCTAATTGACATTCATTGTTTTAGTTAATCCTTTAGTTTTGCTTCAGCGAGGAAATACAGTATTGGTAGACATAACTCTCTCAAGATGGTAGCCAACGTAAATAATGGGGGTAATTAATTTATTTAAAACAATGAACTAAAATTATATCAAGGGATATTAATCTGAAAAGGCTGCCACGTACATTTAGCCAATTCTGAATGACTTGTCTGTAATCTACCCCTCTATAGTATAACAATAACAAAAGAACCTAACACAAGGCTTTGTTCAGTGTAAATAAGTAGGACTGTCTTTATTATTTGTGTACATGCAGTGTATTCTGTATTCCGTTATCAGTGTATTGTATTGAAAAGTCCGGTCCGCGCTCGGCATTTTATTCTCATTTTATATCTGACGCACTATGTCGAAGGTTTGGTTACCCTGAACTACAGTATGGCCATTCAAACCTAAATTACTCATGCATGACATTGTAACAGTACGAACAATGTTTTATTCTGGCGACTCCTCGCTTGGCTGAAAGGTGGGATAACAAGATACAATCGTATCGTATCAAAATTTCTTCAAAATATATACAAGGTCGTCAAAAACCTTAATTAATTTCACAAGGTAAGACATCATCTATTATCAAAACCAGATAAGGTCAATAAGTTCACAGAATCTAGATAATAGTTCGTATTTTATAAAATAGAAAATTAAGCACTTTGTCACAATAACCACGATATGCAACTCGTAGTTGAATCTTTCAGCATTAAACAGTTTGTGACTTAAGCTGTCAATAAAAGGACTATTATTATGGTGCCCCACCATAAATAAATTTCTCCAAATATCTCGACAATTACACCACAATATTTATATTTATCACCCAATAATACATTCTACAGTAGATATCGCTTGTGTGATATATTTAATAATCTACTGAGATATCGCTTTACATGAATTTGATTGGTCAGTTGTTTTTTTTATTTCCAAAGAACAGTTCATTTCTTTTTTATTTTCAAAGAACAGTTCATTTCTTATTAAAAGTAACTTTCTTTTTTTTTTATTAAAAATAAACTATTGTTATTCAATTGACCTTGATGGAAACATTGGGTCAATATAAAGGACTGCGCAATGGTTGAATTGCTGTCAAAAAATGATGTATCACTACGCCGTAATGTTCAATAACAGTTCAATCTACAGCAAAGAATTATATTTATCTATTTGTGCATGTAAGAAGGGATTGGGTGATAAATAAAATCTCCTTCTCGTTGATAAAGTAAAAAAATAAACTCGGCAGAGCCTCGTTTTTTGTTACTTTATCAACTTGTTGATATTTTTTTGATATCAAAAAAGACTGGTAGGAGATTCTCTATATATACCAAGCCTTAAATATGGTGGCTGATTGGTATCATGTCGTAATGTCGTGATGTCGCCTTTCATAACGCGACAACCCGACATCACGACATTTCTACCCGACATTACGACAACCCGACAACCCGGGTTGTATACTGGCATCCAACTCCATGCACCGGACGAGCCCAGTGATAGAAGTGATCTGAAAAATGTGGCAAAAGTAAATCGTTCGACTTGTTCTTTGTTTTCGTAGTAATAGAGCTTGTATTTTAAAGATGACTTTTACCAGTTTTTATGCTGCAACTGACATAATTTACTACACACTCCAAATTACTAGAAAGTATTCGAAATGCCTGGAAATCGCGTCTACGGCCGTCTGGTTTTCAAAATTTTATGGGGGAGGCCCCCCAGACCCCCCCCCCCCCCGTCGGACGCTTAGCGCCTCCGGCGCCCGCGGGCGGACGGCTTCGCCGCCCGCGGACTCTAAAGAAATATATTTGTCGGGAAAATATGCTGGCCCCCCAAACAAGTTCGGCCACGTACGCCTATGACACTTACAGTGCAGTTTGAGTTGCATTCGTATCCATTTGTATACGTCCACATTCATAATGTGAACCGTCTTCATTAGCTCAGTCGGAGCAGAACAGTAGGACGTTAAACCCCATTTCATTTCATAATGTGAACATATTATGAAGCCCCCCCTTGTCTGTGTGTCTGTCATTGAGTCAAGTAGTGTGGTTTCCAGCCCAAGCTTGTACATGACAAAGAGTAGGGTCGTCTGTCTAACCTCGTGGGTTTTCCCCGGGTCCCCCGGTTTCCTCCGACTGCTGAAGACCCCTACGCGCGAGCGAATAATTGAAATAAAATTGAACCATAAGTTAGTCCCGAAATGACCTAGTTTGTGTCGAGTGGACGTTAAACCTCTCTCTCTCTCTCTCGCTCTCTCTTTCTCATGATCAAACTCAGAATTAGCTAGAATCAAGGTTATTGTGTCCCAAAACATCGACCAATCAAATTGCTTATCTCTGCTTAGCCTTAGGAAAATCATAAATAAACAACAAGATTATGAACATGTTAACGATTGTATACAGAGTCAGTTAAAAGCCTGATTAAATAAATGTGTTTTAAGTTGTTTTTTAAACGAATATAGAGATGTACAACATGGTCAAGATATAACGCGACAACCCGACATCACGACAACCCGACAACCCGACATCACGACAACCCGACAACCCGACACCACGACATTTTTACCCGACATCACGACATTTTTACCCGACATTACGACGTGTCGGGTTGTCGGGTTGTCGTAATGTCGGGTAGAAATGTCGTGATGTCGGGTTGTCGGGTTGTCGCGTTATGAAAGGCGACATCACGACATTACGACATGATACCAATCAGCCACCATACTTAAATCACATTTATAGTCACTAAATAAACGGCCGTGTTGAACTTAATCAGCTATGACAATTTAACCAATTATAAACTCAAAGCAATATTTACTTCTTGTCTGCGATATCACCTCGGTGGAAGCGGACGTAAAACACAACTAACAACTAACTAATATTCACTTCGAGACAAGCCACTGAAGCGTTCACATTCGCCGTGTTGAGTTCATCTTTCTGTAAGGATAATTATCGCTGCACGAGGCACCCTACTATTATTTTATTGTTTTTGGATTTTCTCGCTTCAAGGTAAGACTTTTAAGTCTTTTAGAATCGGTTTTAAGTCGTTATTTCTCTTAGTCAAAGGTTGATGATAAGTCAGTCGATCTAGTACCGAAGACTTTTTTTAAAACAGGAAGACTAATGTTGGAACTATTACTGTTTATATGATTAATATTTGAAATAGTATTGTTTATAAGATAACTGTTGGAACTATTACTGTTTATAAGATAACTGTTTGATATATTATTATTATATATAAGATGACTGTTGGAACTATTACTGTTTATTTATAAGATAACTTCATACAAATGGCACTCGAAAGCATTCTGGTACGCTATACGTGTGCCAATTTTTAAATTTCCATTTTGTCTTAAATATTGTATATCAGAAGTACTGTAAGACAACAACATTAATGTTTTGCATGACTGATTTTTAAGACCATAAATTGTACAATGGCTGACAGAAGATGGATAGTTTGTCCCAAAGCGTATTAATACATTACCGTAATGGATGAGAAATGCTCGTTGACGAGAGAGATATCTGGGTACTTACGACATTTTAACTCTCAAAAGCTGTCAAACAGCATTATATAAAAATGTATGTTGCCAGGCATCGAAACATGCGCCCACAGCATCTAAGTCGTCCGGCCACTCAGAAAGAGTTGGCGTATATTTATTTCTTTTGTCAGTAATGAAAATATTTACAACACACTGAAATCTGATTACGAGTAACAACCCAGTTGACTTCTAATTCTGCCTATACCAACGTTAAGTATACAAAACATTTACTACCAAGGGCCATAAATCTGGCAGTAATTTTCGTAAAACGTTAGTTATCAATTAACTCCTTTGTCGCATGACCTAAAACACCGTGTATAAATATAGAGTCATTATAAATATAGAAATAACATTAATAAACATCAAACATAATTAAAATCAAGATAATAAAGATGTTAAATTCTATGTAAAACAAAATATGAATTGCAAATCGAAATATGTAATGGTTGTAATGGCAAGTACATTTGAAAAAAAACTACTGATCAGTTGAATTTACGAATTGACCGACGTCGTTCTAATATAAAACTCGCAAGAAATAGAGTCTTGTCGGTAAGCGAACATTTGGATATTTGTGTTAATTAAAGGTCTATTCAAGATTTTTCCTTTGTACAAACTCAATATTAGCGATAATGATCTCTTGGAAACAAAAGAAAGCAACTTGACCGCTATATATAACCCAATTTTAAATGCTTAGGATTGGTTATTTTAATTATAATTGATGTCTAATTAATGTTATTTCGTTTTAGTTTTTATATTTTACATACTCATTTTCCTCTGTTATAACGTTACGTTATATAAACTGTGTTGTGTTTTTAACAGCACAGTAGTTTTCACTATTGAAAGTCTTTCATGCGTGTAGAAGAGTGTCCTAAAAGGAATGTTAGTCACGACATTGAAATGCATTGGGCTGAATATATTGTGACTCTATATTTTATTTTGGTTTTTTTTGTTGGGTTTTTTTTTGTTATTGTTTTTCTTTTTGTTTTGGGTGGGGGGGGGAGGGGGGTGTTTTGTTGGGGTTTTTTTGTTGTTTTTTTGGTTTTTTTGTTTGTTTTTTTTTTTTTTTTGGGGGGGGGGGGAGGGGGGGGGGTAATATCATTATTATATATGTAGCATCAACATGATTTCTAGTAATTATTAATGTTATATACAGAGCATATACACTAATTGATAGTTTCAGTTTATATTTGAAAAACCTACATCAATCTAAATTATCATTTCAGTAACTATTGTTTTGTTTTTTTATTAGCCACAATATTTGCCACCGTGTCGTTATTAGAATTGGGTCACCTGATTATGATTTGGATACATGCATTCCCCATTGCAGACTTCGTCATGCATGCAATAACATTCTAAAATATGGTAATAATACCTAAATTGCGCTGTTGGAATTTGTCCGTAGACCACGTCTATACCGACCTGTAGGACCTGTGATATACGGTAGACCACGCCTATACCGACCTGTAGGACCTGTGATATACGGTAAATAGTGTGGGGTGTCAGATTTTGCCTCCATAAATCGAGTATTAAATTTTTGACCTTGTTTGACATGAACACTGCCGACACGGCTCGATTCTTTTTTTTTATCACAAATAATATGTACTGCATACACTCAAATTATTATACCCCGCCTTTCGACGAAAGCAAGGGACTATTTAAATGGTCTGTCTGTATGTCCGTCATACTTTTTGGGACACAGTAACCTTCCTTCTAATTTAGCTAGAATGTTTAAACTTGGTATGGGTGTTGATTAGGTAAATGTCTTGATTGAGTTCAAAGATGAGCATTTTCTAGTTAGAGTAAGCAGGGATTGGTTGATGCTTTCGGACACGATATCTTTGCTTCTAATTAAGTAAGTGTGATGAAACGTGGTGTATAGTTTCATCACATCAATACCTTAACTAAGTCTGATAGTGAGCATTTTCGGATCAGGGTGAGCAAAGCGATAAGCAATTTGATTGGTCGAGACTTTGGACCTCGAAAACTTTCATTGTAATTGAGTGATAGTGGTGAAACTTCATGTGTAGTCTCATTACACCAACAGCTTAACAAAGTTCGATGTTGAGTGTTTTCTGCTTAGGCGAAGTACATAGTTCAATCTGTTTGGTCGAGACTTTAGAATACAATAACTCTCCTTCTGATTGGGATAGAATGTTGAAATTTTGTGTAGGTGTCTATTTGCAGGGGTCAAAATTCGTGAAATTATTAAGGTTTTACTCTCATTAAATATATATTATTGTAAAATATTTAGTTATTAAAGTTTAGCACTAATTAAATATGTAACAATATTGTCGTTGCGACATTGTTTTCAAATTTATAGACAAGGAATAGAGAAATATGATGGCTAAAACAATATTGTTATCTTTACAAATTATTCTCCATTGTCAAAATATTAGTTATGGTATGAGTTTATTTAAAACGCAAGTGTATAAAAACACGTGATAGGAAAATTACCATTTCATATTTGGCAAGAGTGACCAATCACATGATTAATTACATCATAATTAGCCAATAGAATAATTAATTACTGTGAATCTGAGAATATATAATTAATAGAATGTGCGTTCTAGGTAGACAGCCTTGTGGTTCTTGTAGGGAGAAGATGTAGGAATTTCCATCAGCAGACTCGCTGAGTCTGTATGAGAGGGGGTTAGAAAGAATGACTTTAATATAATGCTTGTAACTACATTGTACTAGACGATCAAGGGCTGTTCCAAAATATGTAGTAAGAAATGATGCATGGGTTATACGCCGGATGTGGACACCGGTTTTAATGGCTGTCCGCTCTCCACGTCTGACAGACGACCCATGGTGCTACAAATATTGTTTCATTGATGTTGAGAATTAATTAAAGTATTATTTAACAAACTCTGTGATTTGTTTAACTTCCTCGGGTTCAACGATTCCGCTATTGGGATATATCGTAATATGTTTCTTGTAATATAGCAGCGCCCTTACCGACTTGCCATTAAATGCAATTTCATTTCTTTTTCAGATGAAGTCAAAAGCCGTCGTACTTATAATATTCTTGTTAGTACTGGTCTTAACCATCATATATGTATATAATTTGACCAATCATTCAGAATACAACAAGGGTGAAATTAAAACAGATCATGCACAAGAATCCGTACCATCCCATCAGGCGATGATGACATTTAAGAAGCCAATACCATCACGCCAGAAGATGACAACTAGGCAGCCATTACCTAAGATACATGCCATAGTTACCATGCCATTATTAACCAAGAAAGATTTGCAGACAAAAAAATACAAAACATCTACAATAGAAAAAATTAAAGAACGAATGTCAGAATTTATAACCGGCCTACAAAACACTTTAAACCATGAATGTATTTATCGTGTTCATTTTCTTTATAACGAGTCCGATGTTGTCGATTACGTTAAAGCACATGTTACAACTAATACGGCCAAATTGGTGTTTAATCGCGTTGAAGACCCGCGAAAGCATATCACGTATTTTGACTTCGCCTATGAGAAGCTTCAAGGAGAAATTGCCATGTATACGCCCATCGATGTTTATCCTGGAGAAGGGTTCGAATTGATCAACAAGGATGACCTGATTTCTAAGAAGCTGATGTATATTCTAACAAGACATGGTAAACAAGAGAAAAACTGTGATATGGGAAAAATCAGTAACAATTGTGATAGAAAGCTTTATTTCGGCTCTCACGATTCGTACATCTTTGTACCTAACGGACCCCTATCTCCCCAAATCCGAAAGGCACTTAATTTTTGGTCAATAGTGTGGGGTCAGGAAAATATAGCCATACACACTTTTAGAAATTTGGGACACTTTAAAGTGACCAATCCATGTGAAGTATTATTTATATATCATATACATTGTAGTAATTTGCGTGATACTACTCGATACAGAATAAATACGAAAGCAAACACGGGGATGGCTCCTCCTACTGACACTTTAACATAAGTTTTATTGTAAGGCCTACAACAGAAAAGAAGCATCTTATTTAATAATACTCTGTAATTTCAATCAATTATGCTTCCTAGGGATGACGTCACATATTCTGACGCTGATAAGATTTAATTCCGACAATCAAATATCATAGTTAATCTTTCAATGATAAACACGTTTACGTTAATTTTGAAGGTTTTTTTTGGGTTTTTTTTTATGTTTTTAAAGTACAGGCCACATTTCTTAACGTATCATCTTGAAACTATGCATACTTATTCTTTGTACCCTAAGGAACATCCCTATCGTTTGGGGTGCATGCCCGACCCCCAGGGGCAGAGCCACACCCATTTTTTTATCTTTGTATGTCTGTGTGTCACCTATAGGCCACAATTCTTAATCAATCGTCTTGAAATTTTTTCATATGAATTGTTTATACCCTAAGTATGATACCTATTGTTTTTGGTGCATGCCCGACCCCCAGGGGCAGAGCCACGCCCATTCCTTATATTTATTTATTTGTTTGTCATCAACAGACCGCATGTCTTAACGTATCATCTTGAAACTATGCATACTTATTCTTTGTACCCTAAGGAACATCCCTATCGTTTGGGGTGCATGCCCGACCCCCGGGGGCAGAGCCTCGCCCATTTTCTCTTTTTATGTCTGTGTGTCGCCTATAGGCCACAATTCTTAATCAATCGACTTGAAAATTTTTCATATGAATTGCTTATACCCTAAGTATGATCCCTATTGTTTTTGGTGCATGCCCGACCCCCAGGGGCAGAACCACGCCCATTCCTTATATTTATTTATTTGTTTGTCATCTACAGACCGCATTTCTTAACGTATCAACTTTACATACTTATTCCTTATACCCTAAGGATGATCCGTATTGTTTTTGGTGCATGCTCGCCTCCCCGGTGCAGAGCCACGCCCATTTTTTGTATTTGCTTGTTTGTCGTCTACAGGCCACATTTCTTAACGTATCATCTTGAAACTTTGCATGCTTATTTTTTGTACCCTAAGGAACATCCCTATCGTTTTGGGTGCATGCCCAACCCACAGGAGCAAAGCCACGCCCATTTTCTTTTTTATGTCTGTGTGTCGCCTACAGGCCACAATTCTTAATCAATCGTCTTGAAATTTTTTCATATGAATTGCTTATACCCTAACGATGATCCCTATTGTTTTTTTTATCCCCAGGGGCAGAGCCACGCCCATTTTCTTTTCTTTTTATGTCTGTGTGTCACCTACAGGCCACAATTCTTAATCAATCGTCTTGAAAAATTGTCATATGAATTGCTTATACCCTAACGATGATCCCTATTGTATTTGGTGCATGCCCGACCGCCAGGGGCAGAGCCACGCCCATCCCTTATATTTATTTATTTGTTTGTCATCTACAGATCGCATTTCTTATCGTATCACCTTGAAACTTAGCATACATATTCCTTTTATCCTAAGGAACATCCCTATTATTTGTGGTGAATACCCAACCCCCAGGGACAGAGCTGCGCCCATTTTCTTTTTTTTATGTCTGTGTGTCACTTGCAGACCGCATTTCTTAATCGATCATTTTGAAAACTTTTTTATACTTATTCCTTATAGCCTAAGGCTACTTTTTTTTTATACTTATTCCTTAATCCTAAGGCTAACCTCTATTATTATTTTTGGTGCATGCTAGACCCCTTGGGACAGAGCCACGCCTAATGTTTGTGTGTCTTGTGTTTTGCCTACAGACCGCAATTCTTAACAGATCATTTTGAAACTATGCATACCTATTCGAAACGTCATGCTTTTAGAATAAAGACATCGATTGTTTTAAAATAAAAATTGTGTTCTGTTAATGTGAACGAAACGTTAAACTGATGTTGAACATATGTACAATACTTGTTCTACAATAGTTATGTTAACCGGGTTTTCGTCTGGTAGCGGTCTTGTTCCCAGCTCGGCTCTCTGGCCGGGATTGTCCCCAAAACGCGCGTGTGTGTGTGTGTGAAATAGCTTTATTTAACGTCCGCTTCCACCGAAGTGATATCGCACCGAAGTGATATCCCCAAAACGTTTTATCTGATCTTATATATTATGGGCCGGATCGATGTCCAGCCTTGAATTCCGGGTACCACACCCACGCACCGTCACCTGATTGGTCAGTATTCGGTCTGGGGTGGGTTAATTCCCCGAACGGACAGCTAGTTGTTGACCAATCCGCTACGGATAGGTGTTATATTTCAAATTACAATATGGGCGGAGGTTGCAGCTGGTCATTATATTATATCTTGCAATTACACCCACCACTAGAAATGTCTGCCAGAGTGTTTTTGTAATATCTGAAGATGTACGGTATACTGACTGTACGATTTTCATGTGGTACACTTTTGATCTAATCTAGCCTAGTTGGGGGGCATTGCATTTTGGGCGTGGAATACCACACCCACCACTAGAACCCCGGCAGACTTACATTCTTATGATACCAGCTATACATGCATTGATACCATATAGGAGAAAATTGGTACACTTTTCAGCTAGGTTGACCCACTGGGCTCCTGGTCTAATACGTTATCATAAAGAAACGAAAGGCATCCCCATGTTACTATAATTAGAATAAAGGCTCACGAACGTCAACAAGCGAACGGGCGAAAACATACAAAAACAACAAGAATGGCCCAGGCCATTTCAATATTATATAATATAAAAATGGGGGGAGGCGGTTGACCGGGGGGGGGGGTCTGACTTAGGGGGTTTTGACCGTATCCCTGAAATAATACCCAGGCAGCAGGGGGGGGGGGGGTCTGACTTAGGGGGTTTTGACCGTATCCGTGAAATAATACCCAGGCAGGATGGATTAGCGGCCATCTTGATTCTTGTTTCATGATATTTTATAGACATTCTGGCAAAAGTGGAAACAAACCCGGGAATGGACTAGAAAATAACTTTTTTCACTTTTATGTTACTTGAAATGTAATCTAAATTCTGTAAAAAAAAAACCTTCAAACAAATAAACATATTTTCCCATACACTCCGTTCTATCTTTGTGTAATATTATTTCACTGATTCAGTCACAGTTAATAAATGATAGAACTAGAATCAATCTTTGGAAGTTTTTTCTATAGTTTCATTATAATTGAGAATTTACCAAGGACTCCATTGAAGAAAAACTGGTAAAAATTTCATTTTATTTTTATATTTGTGTGTCCAGTGTCCTACAATTATTAGTGTATGTGAAATTACAATCCCACGTAAAGTATTTATAAGGTACTTATACTTACATCCACTTGCCACAAACTAGGCCATACATGTATTTGTATTGGCTGAATCAAGTTGTCCACGTTGTGTATGCTATGCAGACCCGTAGCTAGCCCTAAAATGTTGGGTAAGGCAAGGGCTTCGGGGGTGCCGATGAGGCTTCTGGGGGAACCAAGGTACCTACACTTGACGGTCCACGGCGAACGGCACCGTGGACGCACCTTACTGCGTCCCATGAGAAAATTTTGGAAAATAGGGTTTGCACCAAAGGGGAAATTTCAATTTTGAAGCTGAATTTGCGATATTGGCGTATTATGATATTTGATATGAACATTATAAAAAATTGAAGGAAGGAATACGACTTTAGCGTACCTATAATAATTTATGAGAAAAACGAAAAGTTCGTAATCGGGTTAGAGTGAGACTTGTTCGAATTTTGAAGATATCACGCCTGGCGCGGGCTTGATTCAAATTCTTCCCCATCGTGAATTTGACCTGGAAAATTTCATACAATCTCCCGTTGCCTTTTTTTATGGTAGACTTCTTCGGGCGGCGGTGTGCGTGGGTTTCTTGGTTGGGCGTCCATGATCTCGCCTTGGGCGGCCTACTACGAAAGCCCAGAAGGCTTATTCCAAATTCAAATTCCAGATTCCAAATTACAAATTACAAATTTGCTGCTGTAGCAAAAAAAAAAAAAAAAAATGCCAGTCCTAGGATACCGAGTAGCAGAGTAGCTCACTGCAGAGGAACTTTGCCACAAACTTTTCAGGGGATCACGTGGCTAAGTGGGTTAGACGCTAGTCTGGAGGTCGGGTGTTCGATCCCTGCATTGGCCGAGAAAGTTCATCCAGTTTTTCCGGCGTGGTTCCCCCTTGTCAGTGATGCAGGACAAGTGTCTTGTCCTTCGGATGAGACGAAAAACCGAGGTCCCGTGTATACATTGGAATGCACGTAAAAGATCCCTTGGCAGTTGGAATTCGATATAAAAGTAGTGATAGTGCCGCTGCCGTGGCAAAATTTCCCTCATAGCACACTGTATGGCGTATGCAGAACAGTAGGACGTTAAACCCCATTTCATTTCATTTCCAAACTTTTCACATCTGCCGAAGCAAACCAGAACTGGAATATTATTATCCCCTCACTGATTAGTCAAAAGCATAAATCTGATCCGATTGGTCGGATCAGATTTGAAATTTGGAATTAAGCATTTGGAATTTGGAATCTGGAATCTGGAATTTGGAATCTGGAATTTGGAATCTGGAATTTGGAATCTGGAATTTGGAATTTGGAATCTAGTAATTTGGAACGGGTATTTATCCGGCCCAGATATGTAAACTAGAAGTAATTATTTGTGTAAAATTACAATTTATAAAAATTCTCATTTGTTTAATTGAGGGGGTCTGCCAATTTGCTATTTTATCGGTAAGACATGAATTTGGAATTTGGAATTTCGCATTTGGAATTTGGAATTTGGAATGAGCCTTCTGGGCTTTCGTAGCCTACCGCTAGCTACGGGCCTGCCAAGACCTACATGTATACCGGTAATCAACTGGGACGAGTAGCCTTCTTCCATTTGCACCTTCTTTCCGTGTACTGCCTCATTCAACGTGTATTAAAATTTGGCATGTGTTGTGTAATATTAATTTTGCATAAACCTGGAGTTGTTGTAGAATGGGTCCTTATCTACTTACTAGCGCTATGTCATTTCGAGGCTAACATGATTCAGTTTAATATGTATAATTCGCTTTTGAAATCGAAACCATGCCACTTGACTCAATGACAGACCCTGTGATTTCATGTGCATACGTTAATCATCTAGACCCCCCCCCCCCTCCCTCCGCCCAAACCCATATCGAATAAATGTATGCCTTATTTCAAATATGATATTAGCATGTACAGAAAGTAGAGACTTCAATCTTACTAATAAAATACTGAATTCCCAGAAATG